TCACTGTTGCCCCCTTCTCGCCAAGGCAGACAGAGAAGTTCCCAGACGGTTTCTGGCTAGGGGAGCAGCTGGTGTGCTGGCAAGCTGGCACCACCCCGTGGAACATCTTCCCAGTCATCTCCCTCTACCTAATGGGCGAGGTCACCAACCAGTCCTTCCGCATCACCATCCTCCCCCAGGTAGGTCACCGGGGTCCCAGGAAGAGGAAAGAGGGCATGTTGGGGGCTAGTGACTAGGACACAAAACAGGTGAATGTCTAAAGGTCAAAAACCTCGAGACCAAACTCCCTGCCATCCAGTCAGTTCCACCTGCTGGCAACCCCATAGGACAGGCAGGACCGCCTCCGTGTTTGCTGGGCTGTGGCTGAGAAGAAGCCCTGCCTTTCTCCCATAGAGCTGCTGGTGGTTTTGAACTGCTGGCCTCGCTGTTGGCAGTTCAGTGCGCCACGAGGGCTCCTAGACCGAGGGCCCTGGAGAAACGCCACTCTGGGACAGAAGGTGGCATAGACTCTAACTCTGACTGCTCCCCACTAGCAATACCTGCGGCCCGTGGAAGATGTGGCCACATCCCAGGATGACTGTTACAAGTTCGCCATCTCCCAGTCCTCCACGGGCACTGTCATGGGAGCTGTCATCATGGAGGGCTTCTATGTTGTCTTCGACCGGGCCCGAAAGAGAATTGGCTTTGCTGTCAGCGCTTGCCACGGTGAGAGCCAGGGAGGAGGGTTTGGGACCAGTCTGTCCACATCCTCCCTGTCCAGTCGGGAGGACACCTGGGACCCTGCCCATTTGGGAGGGCATAAGAGGTGCTAGTGTTAGTGCGTGCCCTCGTGCTGAGCGGCCTGACCGGTGAACCCAGCCTGGCAGTGGCCGCTGCTGGAAATCCAGTCAGAGCGGCTCAGACCCTCGGGAGCTCTAGCTCCACAGAGCCTGCCGGTTGCTGTGATGAAGCAGAGCATTCAGAAAATGGGCAGGTGGCAGTCTTGCTCTCAGCATTGGCAGGTGAACTTATACTCCCTAGGGCCAAGTGGGGTCAACTTAGAAGTAGTGACTTGTAGGCGCTATTCCTACCAGAGGTACCCAGAAGAGGCTGTTGTTCCCGGTGCCCTGGGAAGGGAGACATGGCCCTCTGGCATAGGCTTTCTGCCCCACTCCTAAACTTCTCCCGAGAGGGACTACATGCCCAGCGAGGGCTACAGTGGCGGCTGTGCTGTCCCTGCTCTGTGGCAATGAGCTGCCCTCCACCTGTGCCCTTTCCCAGTGCACGATGAGTTCCGGACGGCGGCGGTGGAAGGCCCCTTTGTCACGCCGGACATGGAAGACTGTGGCTACAACATCCCGCAGACAGACGAGTCGACCCTCATGACCATCGCCTACGTCATGGCTGCCATCTGCGCCCTCTTCATGCTGCCACTCTGCCTCATGGTGTGCCAGTGGCGCTGCCTGCGCCAGCAACACGACGACTTTGCGGACGACATCTCCCTGCTCAAGTGAGGCTCTGTGGGCACCAGACAACGCCCCCTGGCCACCACCCTCATCTGCCGCCAGGGCCTCTGCCTGATGGGCCCGGAGGCTGAGCGGGCCGGGGGCGTGCACAGGGATGGCACCCT